CTTCTCCCCCACTCCCCCCCCACACCAACAGCGAGGCCCGGGCCCGCCAATCCTTCTCCCCCCAGCCCCTCGCACCAATGGCGAGGCCCACACGGCTCCCAGCAGCCAGGCCCGCCAATCCTTCTCTTCCGCCTTCCCCAGCGGTGAGCTGTGCGGGCCCACCGAGCCTTCCCCCCGGCTCTGGCGGCGCGGCCTGAGTGGCTTCCAGCTGCCGGGCCCGCCGATCTCCTCCCCCTCGGCTCCAGCGGCGCGGCCTGAGCGGTTTCCGGCCATCGGGCCCGCCAAGTCTCCCCCCCCAACAGCCAGAGCATTCTCTGCAAATGCCAGGGAATGCTCTTTTACTTTTGGGGGGATTTAAGTATCCCCCGTATATTTTTTTTAACTTTTCAGATTTTTCTGCACACCTGGAGACTGCTCCAAGTGTGCAGGAAAATCTCCCTTCCCCCCCCCAAGTGCCCCTGATGTGTGGATTTAGATATCTGCACGGAGGGGGCAACTTGGCTATTAGATATATAGATATGGAGCAGAGGTCCATCAGTGGCTATTAGCCACAAGATATAGATAGGAACTCTCAGTCTGGGGCAAGGGATGCACTGTATTCTTGGTGCTTGGGGGGGGGGGAACAGTGGAAGGGCTTCTAGTGTCCTGGCCCCACTGCTGGACCTCCTGATGGCATCTGGTATTTTTGACCACTGTGTGACAGAGAGTTGGACTGGATGGGCCATTGGCCTGATCCAACATTAGCTTCTCTTATGTTCTTATCCAAATTCTTCTCTCTAACCCATCCTATAGCACTGTTGATATAAAACAAGGTATTCTGTTTAATCTCGGTAGATTTATATGCTGTGTTTCCATCCCATTAATGAGCCCCAGGACTGCTCACAAGATTCTAAGTTTTTTAAAAACTGAACAATAAAAAGACACAATAAAAAAATCCCTTGGTATCAAAGGGACAACTTAGTTCTTTCAAGGTCTCCTTTCATGAAGGTTTGATGGTATCTACAACATTTTAGTGAACTAAAGACCACGGCCATACAGCCCGGAAAATCTACAGCAACTAATGAACTCCGGCCGTGAAAGCCTTCGACAACATATTGAAGAACTTAGCTTTCTTCAAAGCAGACTTTTTAGTTTTATTTTAAAATTAATTTCTAAACATTAAGACTCATATTTTTCCCTACAGCTGAACTTTCAGTTTTGATGTGGGCTCTAAGCCATGGAAAGCTTGTATGGTAATGAACCCATTAATCTTAAAGGTGCCGCTAGATTCTTTGTTCTTTTTGTTGTGATGACAGGTAACACGGCTACTACCTCCGAAAGCTGATGATAAAACAAAACAAAACCAGTTTCCAAGTAACAGCACAATGCCTTCTGCTGCACTTAAAAAAAAAAGTTTCAAGAACCAATTCAAGCTGAAGAATTCCCTCCATGTCAAACTATTGCAATTAGTGCGCTTAGTACTCATGGTTTCTGACTGCTGAGTAAACCCCCCCCCCCCAAAAAAAAACCCCACCAAACCCGGGGGGGAAAAATGCCGCCCGGATCCACGTCTGAGTTGCAACTGAACAAATCCCCATCGGCTGCAAAACATGTGCTATGTAAAGATTATATGTGTTGTCCTCCCTTACCCCTATAAAGCATTGTTAGTCCCTTGTGAAATGAGTAACTGTAAATCGCTCAGAGCCAGCAGCTCTGCAAGGATTGAGCGATCAATAAATTGAAAGATGATGATGATGATGATGATGATGATGATGATGATGATAATTATAATTATAATAATATACAGTGGGATATGTTGAGCATGCCTAATGTCGAGTGCTGATGCTTTTCTTTCTTCACGCATCAACAATCCCAGCAAAGTGGCTAAAAATGTGGCACCATTGTATACAGGGCCGTCCCCAGGCTTTTTTGGGCGAGGCTAAGTTGTGGGGGCCCCCCCCCAGGCAAGGCTGCCTTCTGGCGCCCCACCTCACTGCAGTCGCAGATCCTCCGAGGGGCTAGTCCCGAAGGCGGCTGGAGGGCCGGGCACGGAGCCAGGGGGACTCAGAGTGAGAACAGCTGCCTCCCTGAAGAGAGCTCCCTGGAGTGAGCTCTGGAAGCAGCCCCGCCCTCGAGCCTGCCTCCCTGGCTCTCCCCTTGCAGGAGCCCAGGCGACGGGGGGTGGGGGGAGGCGGCTTCCTGGCTGGGGGGGCAGCTGTGCGCTTTCCTCACCCGAGTCCCCATCTCCGCTCAACCCAGCCTGGAGCCAGGGCAGGACTGCCGGAGTTCCTCTGGGTGGGCGGGTGAGTGGGATGTGGCCCGCGGGGGGGGGGGCTGTGTCATATTGCCAGGCATTGGAGTCAGAGAGAGACCCTCGTGTGGGACACCGCTTCGCCTGTTGCTCCGTCGAGGCCGGACCCAGCGAGAGCAAGCCTTCTCCCCCCGGTGTCTTCTTGGCTTCACCCTCTCCACCCCGACACTCCTGCTCGCCGCCCCTGCCACCAGCCACTCCCTCCCTTCCTCCCTTTGGGTGGCCTGCCGTGCCGCCGGGCACTGAGCGGAGCCCGTGGTTTCCCCATTGCGGCGGTGGTGGCGCCCCCACACACACCCAATTCCACAGCGGGAGGGAGAGAGAAGCCCAAGGCCACGCTGAGTCACCCTGGCCACTGCCAGCAGCAGGCAGCAGGGGTGCTGGCGGTGTTTCTCCTCAAAAATAAGGTTTCTGGCATGGCTATTTGTGGGGCGGGGCTCTTAATTAAGGGGGCGGGACCCTGAAATGCCCCACTGTAGCCACGGGCCTGACCACTGGTCTATGCAGCAGGGCTCTTGTGTTCTTAACCCTGGTTCCAGAGTGGGAGGGTGGATGTCTGCCACACAGTGGGTTTGGTGACACTGCTCCATGCTCAAAAGCGACACTGGAGGCTGGGACGGCACCCGTCAAGACAGAGCAAGACTGGTGGCCGAGCCATCGGCCGAGATGACAAAACCAAGTGGGCCGTTTAAAGAGCCCACTGGCCGCCTCTGGCCGCAAAGCAGAATATGAACATTTTACATTTTAAAAAAAATGGTTGAACGGGGGTGGGGGGGTGGGGAAATGGCAGCAGGACAAATGACTGTAAGGCAAATGCAACACAACATGCAACAGTCCAGAAGTTCATGTCTCCATATTTACCTGATGAAATCCTAGATAATCCACAATTGTTGGGGACGCATAAAATACCATTCCGTCAGCGCTTACCACTAGTGCAAAACCACTTAGTGTCTGGGGAAGAGAGAAAAGATAAAAGAACTGATGAAACTAAAGGGATCAAAAGCCCTGTTTTGCATTTATACTCTAAATAATTGTATTTTCCCCATCTTTTCCTTAAGCCGGCGAATGCTGAGCAAGAGCACACCACAGCATAGCCAGACATAAAATAAAGCAGGATTTCCCGGGTGGATTATGAAAACGGTAATGAACTTCATGCTGATGCTGAGAGGGTCAATTCAGAATTTCATTTGCAGCACGAGAAGAAAACAGATGCCTGGGTGCAAGGATGCATAATGTGTTTGTATTCTTTTTCTGTTTACAGATTAGTTCAGCAGGATGCCTGAAAATCCTCTTTTGGAAAAATCTATGTTTTGTTTTTTGTTTTTTTTAAAGCGATGGTAAATCACCAAGGGGTGCTGTGGTGGCTCAAGTGGTTAAGACGCTGAACTGCAAGCTGTGGAAGGTCGGTAGTTCAGCGGTTCGAGACCCGAGTGTGCCGCATGACGGAGTGAGCTCCCGTCTCTAGTTCCAGCTCCTGCCAACCTAGCAGTTCGAAAGCAAGAAATTGCAAGTAGATAAATAGGGACCACTTCAGTGGGAAGGGAACAGCGTTCCGTGCGCCTCGGTGTTTAGTCATTCCGGCCACATGACCACGGAGACGTCTTCGGACAGCACTGGCTCTTCGGCTTTGAAACGGAGATGAGCACCGCAACCCTAGAGTCGGACTCGACTGGCTTTCGAGCAAGGGAACCTTTGCCTTTACTTTAAATCACCAAGTGTTCAGCACATCTGAATACAGTTCCACAGGGCCTGTAAAACAGAGCTGTTCCGCCAGGCCTTTGGTTGAGGCAGTGGACATCCAACCGTTTCGGCTTCCCCTGCTCATATTGCCCTACTACTTGGTGGCCCCTCGGTGCTACTGAAATCTGAACAGCACTCTCCAGCAAATTGGACACCTATTGATCACCGAGCTGTGCCCATACAGGAAGCATTCTGGACTCCCACGAACTGGACTGCCATCTTATTGAAATTATTTTAATCTGGTTTTAAATTGTAAGTTTTAACATTCTTACTATGATATGTTTGTAACAGTGTTATGACGGTTGTGACCATCTTGAGCCCGCTTGCGGGGAAGGGTGGGATCCAAATCAAACCAAATCAATAAATAAAATACAGCTGACCTGCCTAGGCATGTAAAATACGCTGCAATAAGCAACAGGCTCCATAATCTGTTTAAAGGTCCCCAACCTTTTTGAGCCTGTGGGTGCCTCTGGAATTCTGCCACAGGGTGGTGGGCACGACCACAAAATGGCTGCTGGAGGAGGTGGCCACACACACCCAGACAAAATCCAGGTGCAGGAGAGAAGCGAGGTAGTTTTAAAAATACACAGCAAAAGAGGAGTAAGAGAGAGACCAAAACAACACTGTGGAAGCAACTGCTGCTAAGTCATCATTATTTTAATCTGCACAGCTAATCAGATTTCCAGTGACTCATCAGAAGCTGTGCTAGGCAAGAATTCCACCTGGCTCCACCCGCTTTCTGAAAACCCTTGGCGGGTACCAGGTAAGAGGCTGGCAGGCATTATAATGCCCGTGGGCACCACGTTGGAGACCCGTGGTTTAAGGAGTCGCCACAGGCCTAGCTACCAAGAAACTGAGACTTAAAGCATCCCTGTGTTCATTAAGTTCTGAAGATTCTGGACAGCATTCGGGCTCAACACGTTACGAAGGGCCGACTCACTCATTACGAAGACCACATGGCCACCACGAGGACTTTCCATCAGACTTGGAAGACCTGATTTAGATTGGGACCATGGCACGCAGGGAGATGGGAGCTTAAGACTTGCGTCATTTCTGCAACCTGAGATGGCTCTGGGGAGCTCCTGTATGCTCCACCGGTGAAACAACACGTACTAAAGTTTACCAAGTGGAGTAAACAGTGACCGTTTCCGGTCAGGAAAATACAGCAGGGTGGGGTAAACCTAGGGTTGCCAACTTTGGCTTCAGAAATTCCAAGAGATTTGAGGGTAGAGCCTAGGAAATGGTGTTTAGTGAGGGGAGGGACCTCAGTAGGGTATAATGCCAGGCAGTCCACCTTCCAAAGCAAGCCATTTTCTCCAGCAGAAGTGGAATAAAGGTTTGAGATAAATCAATAACAACTCCATAAGCAATCCATGTAGTTTGGAGATCAGTTGTAATTGAGGGGGTCTTCAGCCCCAAACTGGAGGATGGCAACCCTACTTAAACCCCTTCCCCCCCCACATATCGTTGTCCTGATTCAAATCAGGATCACACACGGGGGTCTCCCAGTATGTTTCTGATAACACACCTGGTGGCAGCGAGGACTTCACAGCACGTGAATCAGCCCCAAGACACCGGAAGTCTTGTGAATGGCACTTCCTGCCATTTTCCCCCTCCTTAGACATCGTGTGTTAGGGGGCCTGATTCTGATCAGGGCAATAGTCCGAGGGCAGGTTAAGACTGCTGTGCTGTTTTCCCAACCCGAAATAGCTACTCCACGAGGGCAAACATACAGGGGTTGATGAAGAAGAAGAAGAAGAAGAGATTGGATTTATACCCCGCCCTTCACTTGGAGTCTCAGAGCGGCTTACAAACTCCTTTCCCTTCCCCTCCCCACAACAGCCACCCTGTGAGGTGGGTGGGGCTGAGAGAGCTCTTGACAGAAACAGCTCTTTCAAGGACAGCTCTTATCAGAACTAGGGCTTGCCCAAGGTCATCCAGCAAGTGCAAGTGGAGGAGTGGGGAATCAAACCCGGTTCTCCCAGATTAGAGTCTGCACACTTAACCACTACACCAAACTGGCTAATGGGACTAATCAAAGGCTTATTAGAAGCCAGAAGATGCCAGAGCAATCAAAGGGTTTCTTTGCTGGCCAGTGTGTTGTTTCATCTTGATCCTGTTTCCTGGGTTGTCATCAGTGCAGATAAAGCTTTGCCGTGAGCTTTTCTAAGGGCTCTTCCACATTCTCATTTTCCTCACTTGTAAGTTTCTGTCACTACTGGCAGGGTGTGTGTGTGTGTGTGTCCCTTGTTCTGCATGCATTCTGCTCCCTCTAGTGGTCGATTCAATATTACTATGTTTTATGTCGAGCATATCTCCCTGTAGGTTTTTAATGCCGGACAAGCGCGATGCAATACTGAATTGACCACTAGAGGGAGCAAAACACATGTGGAAAAGACCCCTCACCCCGAAGCAACAGGAACACACAATCAAGAAAAATGAGAATGCAGAAAAGCTCAAAGACACCTGAACAAACCTGTCTGTTGAACTACCAACCAACCCAAGAAGCTTTCCTCCAGGAACCAGCCTTACTGGAGGTTCTGCCGCTGGGAACTGGGGGGGGGGCTTTTTTGGCTGCTGCCACCTCTAAATATACAATAGTGTCCCACAGAAGCTGAGGATGGATGCTCCCTTAATGGTCCAAGAGGGGTATGCCTTTTCTAGAGGGCCTTTGGATCAATGTATAATGGCGCCGCAGGAGGTGAGGGGTGGAAACTGATTACTGGCACAGCTGAAAATTAGATTTTTTTTACAAGCGATTTTATTGTATTTTAATAATTATGTTGTAAACCACCTCAGGGGCTTTTAAAGTTGGAAACCAGTCTATAAATAACACTAAATAAATAAATAAAATTTTATGAGAAATAGTTTGGATAGGCGTTTCCCAGTTCTGTCCTTTGGATTGTCTTCTTGGCTGCAGAAGCATGCATTATCCATTAACTTCGTCCATATTAATTCCTACTCCACCCTGGCCAATTTCAGCATGTACCACCCTGATCAGATAACTTGTAATGAAGCCGTCATTTGCTCAGAGCTTTCCCTTGCAGCTTTTGCATCGGCGCTACTCCCTTCTCTCTGCGGTGTCCCTCGTAATATTGAAATTCGGACTCGTAAGCTCCTTTGGAGAGCTGATGTGGAAAATGCTGTCAAGTTGCCAGCTGAGTTATGGCAACCCCCGTAGGGTTTTCAAGGCAAGAGCCGTCCAGAGGTGGTTTGCCATTGCCTGCCTCTGCAAAGCAATCCTGGACTTCCTTGGAGGTCTCCCATCCAAGTACTAATCAGAGCCAACCCTGCTTAGCTTGCCAGATCGGACAAGATCGGGCTCGCTTGGGCCATCCTGGTCAGAGCAGCTACCATTTGCTTATGATACTTTTTTAATTGCCAGGCTCTGTACAAGTCTTTTTAAAAAAGAAAAAAACATCCCAGCTTCTTTGCTATGATATGGTGTTCAGTGCTTCTTGGTGCGTGCCAGGGTTGCTGATCTCCAGATGGTGGATGGACATCTCCCAGAATTACAACTGGTCTCACATGAGCACATGAAGCTGCCTTATACTGAATCAGACCCTTGGTCCATCACAAAGTCAGTATTGTCTACTCAGACTGGCAGTGGCTCTCCAGGGTCTCAGGCAAAGGTCTTGCACATCAGCTACTGCCAAATCCTTTAACTGGAGATGCTGGGGATTGAACCTGGGACCTTCTGCATGCCAAGCAGATGTTCTACCCCTGAGCCACAGCTCTCAGACTCCTGAGTCAATCAGTTCTCGACAGCAGTCATTCAGAAGAAGTACAGTTTATTGAGATCTTTATTGCGTTTAGGTATCTTAATTGGTTTTGTGTTAGAACTGAGGATAAAGCGCGCAAAGCTAATAGATATACAAAACTCAAGGGGGACCAAAATGGCTCGGGGCCAATCAGATGACAGGCAGGAGCCCGCCAAGCTAATGGGCCAGCTTTCTCAAGAGAGAGAAGACATCAGTCACTCAAGGTTATACGGCTCGGCTTACAGGGAGAGATCACCAAAACAAGAAACATTCAGCAGAAACGAAAGATTCCATTAGTCACCCCCTCCCCAAGGCAGCCAGGGTAGTTCAGAGGCCTTGGCTGACATAGTCCCTCCCTTAAAATAATAATTAGCAAAGCCCCTCCCCTATAATAATAATAAGCTCTGTGAGGTAGCAGACGATAGAGAACATTCCCCCTGGAGAAAACGGCTGCTTTGGAAGGTGGAGGTCCCCCCCCCCCCAACCCCCCCCTTCCCCCCCAAATCTCCAGGTATTTCCCAACCCAGAGCTGGCAACTGTATGCTTGGCACCTGCCAATCTGGTATGAACTTTTTAAGCAATGCAGCATGATACGATCATAACTCTCTGAACGTGTATCTAACTTAGGAAAGATGAATGCTGTTTAATAAAACAGTCCAGTTGGCTTCCAAAATGTTTTTAAGATCAATTGCTGGGGTTGCTTTTTTTTTTTTTTGTAAAGTTTATAATACAGATGAGAGTTCCAAATAAAAACAATGCTACTCTTTAATCTATGAAAATAAGTGACAGCATGTGTTAAATGCATATGGACCCAATAAGAGGCAACATTTCTATTCTAGGATAGTACTTCAAACACATGAATCAGTTACGTATTGTGAACATTTGTTTGTGGTAAAAGCAGAGGGGTTCTTTTTTTAAAAAAAAATCTTCCGTGGTACATGAGGAATGAAATCATTTTTTCTCCCCCCCCCCCCCCCGAGGAAAAAACCCATACTTGGCTTTAAAATGTACCCCGTGTTCTTCGTCAGACATGGAGATCCAAGTATCTAGTCACGAAACGCTGCACCTGCCACTTAACAATTAGCCCACTACAGTTCACAGCAAGTTCAATTGGGGTGGGTGGGGTGTGTGGATTAAAGTTCTCTCTCTCTTCCACTAAAAGAGCTTAGAAAAATTAATAAAGGCCAAAGACAAATATCGTTAGGAAGGCATAACTTCCCTTGGCAAGATATTTTATCATTTCCATCCCCTTTTCTTTCAGCACTCTAACTGAAAACGTGCCAAAGAACACTTCAAAGGGGTTTGGGTTAAGGTCGCATTTAGTAAAAATAAAATAAAATAAAATAAAAAGAATAATACGTCCTTGCCACATTTATTTCTCTTATTACTATTCTTTGAAATGAAGAAACAGAAAGGCCTGTACTGCAGTCTCCAGAGACCAAGTTACTATGGCTCCCAAAGTACAACAGTCAAATCCTCCAGTCATGCCTGGTGTTAACATATTTTCAAGTCACGCAACTTGGTACTGCATTTTTAGAGTCTGAACTTTCAATTTATCTGGAACCGCTTCATTTATGAGTACATTGCGCCCTTTTTCTACACATTAGGGTTGGACTGTTTTCCAAATAACTGGTTATTTTTGGCACTTGGGAATGGAACACATCTCCCCTGTATTTCTTCCGCAAGGATGTGTGCTTGTAAACACTATGTGAGGAAAAACAAACTGGCCAGGATTCTCCATTTTTACGACCTTCGCGGCCCTTTGAGTTAAGAAGAGGAACTCAACTTGTGTCTGCTAAGCCAAGACATCATTCATTCTGTTATCTGGGCTAACTCCAGCACTAATTCTAATTTCTATATTTCTATCGATGTTCTGCCAAAAACCTGTACAGTAAAACAAGTGGTGAGCACATTCAGCTATGCCTAATTTCAGTGTTCGGCCTGCAATGGAATCACCCTTCCCAAATTTGGGACACACACTACGGTTGTCTGGCTGTGCTTGGCAACTGGTGGGAAGTTCGGGAATGGGGACATGCGAGGGCGTTACGTCCTGTCACTTCCAGGGAATATTCAGAAGTGACGTAGGGGAGCTCTAGGAGTTGCTGGAAACTCGATGGTTTTCCCGGGATGTGATGTAGCAGCACAACTGAAAGCATTCGCTTTGGAAGTTACACGTAATATTCCCTCAGAAATGATGGTGGGGATGGAAGAAAGCGCAACTGGAATCGATATATTTGAAGGATAAGAAACTAGGTTTTAATAATAAAATAACTGAGCTGGAAGAAACTGTTTTAACAGCAGAAAACAAAGTGATAAAGAAAATATATAAGATTTTATTGGACGATGTGATGGTTGATGAAATGGTGAAAAAAAATATGATTATGTGGGCCCAGAATATAGGCCGTAATATTAATTTTAAAGAGTGGGAGCAGATTTGGCGGGAAGATATAAAATTAACTAATGCTGTGTCGTATAAAGAGAACATGTATAAGATGTTTTATAGATGGTATATTACACCAGATAGATTAGCTAAACAAAATGTTAATTGCTCTGATAAATGTTGGAAATGTAAAAATAAGATTGGTTCTTTCTATCACATGTGGTGGTTATGTGATGTTATACAGAGGTAATGGAGATGGATTCATGAGATAATGGAAAAAATAATAACTAATATTCCTTTTACTCCAGAGATACTGTTATTGAATATATTTCCGAAAGACTTTGATAAAGCAGATAGGTATTTGATAGTTCATATGTCGACAGCTGCAAGGATAGTATATGCCAAATATTGGAAAACAATGGAAATACCAACGAAACAAGAGTACGTGAACAAAATATTTGAAACGGCGGAAAATGACAAACTGACACTTGAGATGAGAGCACAGAATGGACCTTTCAAAAAACTTGGAAGAGAATAGATAATGAATTTTGAAATTTAACAAGCAGAAGAAATGGAAAAGTCTCTTGTTATATGTTATATGTTGCAGGGGGTAGATGGGGGTTGTTTGTATGTATGTTTGTATGTCTGTAGTATATAATGGAAAAAATAATAAAAGTGTACCCTCGGGTACTTATAAAAAAAGAAGAAGAAATGATGGTGGGGTAAATAGAACACACCCAAAATACATCCAGTGCCTCTGACAGGTACATCTGGAGGCAGCCTTGATTTCATGGGCTCCTGCCTGTCGCCAGCCAGCTGGCCGGCAGGGGGGAAGCCCCGCCCCCAACAATGACCACTGGCAGCCACCCCTCCCCCCTGAGATTTAAAGGGCTCTCCAGCTGATCAGCAGGAGCACGTGGCCTGCCGATCAGCTGGAGAGGGCCCTTTAAATCTTGCAGGAGAGGAGGGGGCTGCCCGCCCATGAACTCCAAGTGGCATATTCGCCACTTGGAGTTAAGGCAAGGTGTGCGGTGCCCGGCCCCACTTGTAAAACACCATTTGAAGGGAACCTTCCCCAGGCCCATAGCTATAGCGGGGCATCTCACCTCCTCAACTTACTGCCAAGGCCCCCCAACTTCCCATCCAGCCCAGGCCCCCCAACTTCCAATTTTTTATTTTATTTGCGGTGCTCCCCTGGGGGGGTGTCTTTGCGGGGTGCCCCCTGACTTATTTAAAGGCTCCCCGAATTGAAAAATCCTGGCTACAGGCCTGACCCTTCACTTTAAATGGTGTTTTGCAAACAGGCGCCACTGGTGCCTTCCAAGGGCCTGCATCCCCAATGTAATGAGGGCACTTCTGTGTGATGTCATCACATCGGGAACGTCCTCTCTCCCTCCAGTAACACCTCCCAAAGCTCCCCACTGGCAGCTAGTTAGGATCTGGCAACCCTAGTACACACCTATCACAGCAACGGAAGGATTTTTGAGAAGGCTGATTCTAAAATTCTGGCTCGTTCTTCCTGGACTAGAATTCTTCCAGGGATCATTACAGATAAAATTCCGGGGGCGCAGTCAAGTATACTTTACTCAATGCCCACTTAGATGTTATCCATAAATGCACCTAACTTCTGACATTTTTTCTTAGAAAATGGAAGCAAACTCGGGAGGCTGTAAATTGATCAAAGGAACGGGGGAGGGAGAAGGGGCTCAGCTTCTTCCCAAGTGGGATTTTCCCCAATAGAAATCATACAGCTCCTCCTTGGGGAAGGGGCTCGGGATCAGTCTTCGATCTCCTGCTTTCTGTACAGAAGATACCAGGTTCAATACCCTTTCCACCCTAGCAGATAGTCCGACAAAGAACCACTGACTCACGGTGGAAGTCCAGGTGAATACTGGAGGTTAGTGCTCAGACAGCTAGAGGCAGGGCCACCAGCTTTGGTTTGGGAAATACCTGGAGATTTTGGGGGTGGGATGGTGGGATTTAGGGAGGGGAGGGATGTCAGCATGGTATAAAACTGTACAGTCCCTAAACTGTGAATGTGTCCCTAAACTGCACTTTATTTTTATCGCCATCAAATGAATGTTTTATATTGACTTGTTTATGATGTATTTTATTCTATTACTGTAAAATGTATACTGCTTATCAATTTTTGGAAGCTGCCCTGATTCCGACTGAGGGGGAGGGCGGGATAAAAGTGAAATATATAAATAAATAAAAAATAAATAAATACAGTCTACTTTTTAAAGCAGCCATTTTCTCCAGGGGAAATGTTCTCTATAGGGTTGCCAAGTCCATCTTCCACCCCCAGTGGGGGACTTTGGGGGCGTTCCTGGAGGACGCGGGGCATCCCTGATGTGATGACGTCTCGTTGGGCGCGGGGCATCCCTGACGTGATGACGTCTCGTTGGAGATGTGGCCCCCCCCCGGCTGGATCTCCAGAAACGCCAGTTCCCTGCACTTAAAGGAGCCGGCGAAGTGCACGAAGCTGGCATTTCCCTGCAAGCCTGATCTCAAGCGTGCACATTATTATTAGGGGAGGGGCTTTGCTTATTATTGTAAGGGAGGGGCCGCTGAGTCCACCTTCCAAGGCAGCCATTTTCTCCAGGTGAACTGATCTCTGTCACCTGGAGATCAGCTGTAATAGCAAGAGATCTCCAGCTATCACCTGGAGGTTGGCTAGAGGACAGGGCCTGGAATCTAGGCCAAGGGAATAGGCTTGCAAGTCCCCCGGGGGGCGGGGAAACCCCCGCCCCGGAGGCCCGTTTCCTGCCGGCGGCGGATCGGGCCCCGGGGGGAACTCCACCCCAACATGCACGCCACCCAGAAGTGACATGGGCACGCCGGGCACGCTGGGGGCGGGGCCACAGTCATCTGAGGGAAAACTCTATGGTTTTCCCTTGGATGGTCATGGCCCTGCCCCCAGCGTGCCCGCGTCACTTCTGGGCGATGTGGATGCGGCGCGCGCGTGCACTCCAGCCACCAGCCAGGAGTCCCCCGCTGCAGCTGAATTCACACTTGGAAACCCTACAAGGGAAACATCACTCGGTGTGAAACAAAGGCTTCAGTGCCCTGGAGATACTGGCAAAGAACGATATTGGCAGTGTTATTCTAAGCAGAGGTACACCCTTCTAAGGCAATTGAAGTCAATAAGCTTACAGGGGCATAACTCTGCTTAGGATGGCACAATAATTTACAAAAACAACTGCAGGTTTATTTACAGTTTAACAGTGGAGGTAAGGGTTACGCCCAGGGGTAATTTCCTGCAGGAGTGCACAGGAGCGGAGGTCCGGCAGTAAAGAGCGCAGGGGGCGAGCACATGCAACAAGCCCCACCCCCTGCTCCCAGCAGCCCTCTGTCAGAGCAAGAAGCAACCAGGTAAGTTGCAGAGCTCCCCCCGGCCCCAAACAGTCCACTGGCACCTTTAAGACCAAGTTTTATTCAGGTAGAAGCTCTCCTTCCTCTGCGAGGACAGATCTGCATGTTCCTCCCCCCACTCCAATAGCTAGCAATCCAAAACAGTCCAGTGGAGCCTGAGCGGTGGGTGTTGCCTTCTGACACACTTCCGGTGATGTCAGGGTGTGTGGCATAAGCAAATAAGTTATGCTAATGAGTCATGCGAATGAGCTCCTGCACCTCTTTTTCTACGAAATGACCCCTGGTTACACCTATTCTTTATTATGTACCCCTCTTTAGATAAACTTCTGATTTTAAAGAATTAACAATTCTTTTTTAAAAAAATAGATTCAGGCAGGTCGCCATGTTTGTCTGAAGCAACAGAACAAAGTTTGAGTCCAGTGGCACCTTTAAGTCCCACAAAGTCTAACTCTCTCCTTACCTATATGAAAGGACTGAGGGAGTCTGTTTCAGTGTATCTGAAGAAACATGCAAGCACACGAAAGCTGATGCCCAGAATTAAACTCTGTTGGTCTTCAAGGTGCCACTAGACTCAAACTTTGTTTAAAAATATTCTGTTGCTAAGATCCAGCATTGATTTCCGGATGCTGGCCAGGGGTCATTTCGTAGAAAAAGAGCTAGGGGGACTCATTAGCATAACTCATTAGCATATGCCACACACCCTGACATCACCGGAAGTGTGTCCTCCCCACAGCCGGCGGCGACCTCCAGTGGGCACCAGAAGGGAGCTCCAGGCCCCGCCCTCCCACACCTCACCCGGGGGGATGGTGTCCCCCCACGTCCCCCCCCCAAATGACCCCTGCTGGAAACTCAGATATGAAAACCACCACGTATTTTCGTTTTCCTAATTTTGGTAGGCCCTGACCTGAATGGTCCAGGCTGGTCCAATCTGATCAGATCTCAGGAGCTAAGCAGGGTTGGTCCTGGTTAGTACGTGGATGCAAGACCACCAAGGAAGTCCAGCGTTGCTGTACAGAGGCCTACCACCTCTTTTTGTCTCTTGCCTTAAAAAAACCCTATGGGGGCTCCTATGACTTGACATCTTGACAGCGCTTTCCACTACCAATTTCAATAGCCGGCAGTGTTCCCTCTAAGCTGAGTCAGTGCGAGCTAGCTCACAGTTTTTTAGCTTCCTGCTCACACATCTCTGTCTGCGCTCAGGAAGGATGGCTCCAGAGCAAACTAATTTATGCAGCAGCCAAATCGCTCGCTCACAACTTTACTGCCAGTAGCTCACAAAGTAGGATTTTTGCTCACAAGACTTCACAGCTTAGAGGGAGCTTTTTGCCTGGGGAAAGAGGCTTTTGTTCTGATGCAGAAAAGCGTCTGGATGGTGGCGTAGGGAGGGAAGAGGGGGAATGGTTTCTATTTTGTCTGTCTGCAGCCCATGAACATATTTGACCTAGATCAGTGGGCCATGCCGATTTGCCAAACCCTTTAGGATTGTGGTAGCACCAATTAGTGCAAAATGCTGCAGACAGATTTCTGACTGGCATCGTCACAGAGATCATATTGTACCAGTCTTATGATAGTACACAGGCTGCTTATTCATGTCTTAGCCCATTTTCAAGTGCTGGTTATTACTTTTAAGGCCTTAAATGGCTTGGGATCGGGTACCAAAAGGATTACCTGTTCCTGTCCTAGGGCTGGATAATTTTTTTGTAAAGCTTTGTAGATTTATTTATTTTTGGGATTTTTACCCCGCCCTACAAGCCCCATAGCTAGAAATTTTGGGTTGGTGGGGCATGGGCAAATTTTGTGGGGCAGCAGGGGAAGGGCATGATCTGGTCCATGGGGTCGCGAAGAGTTGGACTCAACTGTGCTACTGAACAACAACAACAACAGGGGAAGGGGGGATGGGTGGCCGGACACATGCCTTCCCTGAAATCCAAGTGGCGATTTCGCCATCTGGAGATCAGGCACAGGCAGCCCCCCACTAGAGAAACAGTATTTAAAGGGAACTGGTACTGGTCCAACCCCGCCCAACCCCAACCCCACGATTAACTGGGCGAGGGGGCACATATAGATAGATGTTAAATAACATCAGGATCGCCCCTTGCGGGACGCCACGTACCAGAGGGTAAACTGGTGAAACTCTCTCCCCAAGTGCCACCGTCTGCCCCCCGACTACTTACCAGTTCTTTTAATTTTAATTAAAAAATCAAAATGGTTTATTAGCCAAAGGCCATCACATTCTCAGCAACAAATCAGAGCTAAAGGAGATCAACCATCAAGCAGACGGACCAACAGTATAAAAAGAAACATTAAAACATTAACCATCTTAGGTCCGAACATATTGCATGGCAATTACCTACATTTAAAATTCACAAGATCAATCTATCCTAAAAATACTATAATTATTCATTGAAACTTTTACCATAACGTTTCTGGTGATTCCTAGAGCTACCCTTTGTAACTTCTGGGGTAGCTCGAGGAATTGCTTGAAACTCTAGGATTCCCATAGAGTTTTGTCACTTCTGGTAAGAACTTCTGGTAAGCACATGAGACTGCATTTTTAAAAAATTCTCCTGAGATGCTGCCCCTCCCCCAACCCTCCTACCAGCTGCTAGGCACTGCCTGGCAGCCCTATTCAGACCAGCCTGTTAATTAACATCTTCATTTGAACTCCAGTTCCATCTCCCTTCAATTATCAGAAATGAGATGAGCAATAAAAAGAAAAAGGGCCTTTTCAGTTGTGGCACCACAATTTTTTTAAAAATTCATCATCATATCTATCAGACCAGTGCTGAGTTTGTTAAGTTTTTGGCATTAGATAGACATTTATTTTGGCATACATACTGCTGAGTGGTTTTCATTTTGCTGACCTGAAATTATTACTGAATTTACGTGTGTGTGTGTGTGTGTGTGTGTGTGTGTGTACACGTGTGGTACTTGTCAGTGATAATGTATGAATAGAGGCTGGTATGTAAAAAAAATTGTTGGGGGTTTGAATGTATATTGGTGGTATTCTAATTGTATATGATGTCTTGAGACTTGTAAGCCCGCTCTAGAATCTATACCGGTTAAGGAGCACTAGACATAATTTTTCAAATAAATCAATCCTTCACTAGATGTAAGCATCTAACAAGAGCAACAACAATCTAGTAGCGCTTTGCAGAATTCACTTCAAATCTATTGTGTCAGCAGTACTGGACTGAATCGAGACCTAGGTGTCCTGTAGCATTACCAATGCTGATTTCTCCATGCCTCCTACTTTTCTGCATATCACACCTAATCCAATCATGCCTGCTATTGTCATTCACCTGCTATTGTCATTCAGCATCTGCGATCACTCCACTCTCCAATTATAAAGACAGATAGACTCACATTACAGCTATATCTGATGAAATGAGCAGTGACTCACGAACGCTCCTACCCTGTCACAAATGTTGTTAGTCTTTAAGGTGCTGCTGGACTCTTGCTCTATTCTACTGCTAATAATCCTGTAAGGAAAGTCAGTGTTGTTATCCCTGGATGGGAAGGGAGTGCATGGAAAGCTTTTCACCTAACATTCTAGGGATACTGAATATTTGCAAGGAGGAGGCAGCATCACAACAAGAGAAATTAGTTTTGAATGACGAAATGGAGTGAGAGCTTGAACCAGCTTTCCATTCCGTGCAGTGCCCCAAGACAAACTGAGGCTCCAATTTGCATTTTATGGGACCAAGACACATAATCTTCGGAAGTTCGTGACCAAGATGACCCAAGACGACTTCCTGGTTTTCAGTTTTCATACTCAGCCACTGCACTGCATCATCTATAAAGGATAATTAGTCAAGGGAAATAATAATTGATGAAAAACAGATGCTCCAGTGACTTTCCCATGCTTCAGTGGGACAAGAAGTCCAATCACTCTGTGATAGAAAATAATTTGCTAATTTCAGTAAATGCCACAAAACCTGTAACATGATACATGTAAGACATCTGTGTTCAGTACATTTCTAAATAGCCACTTGCCTCTTCACCTATGGCAGTGGTGGCGAACCTATGGCACGGGTGCCAGAGGTGGCACTCAGAGCCCTCTCTGTGGGCACGCGTGCCATCGCCCCAGCCAGGCCCAGACCATCATTAAAATGTCGAATTCTCTGCCAAATAATTTTAAGTAAATGAAAGCATTTGGGATTGCTTTCCTTACTTTGTTTGGATCATCATAAGTTAATGTATGAGTTGTTTTTTCTAAAGTAAAACCTCAGTATTCAGGTTAAATTGCCGTGTTGGCACTTTGCGATAAATAAGTGGGTTTTGGGTCGTAGTTTGGGCACTGGGTCTCTAAAAGGTTCGCCATCACTGCCCTGTGGTGACTGGGGAACCCTAAGCAGGTCTACTCAGAAATCAGTTCCATTTGATTTAATGGGCTTACTTCTAGGAAAGTAGGGTCGCAGCCTACAAACTGACTACGAGCAATGATCAAAACTACTTTTAAAAACCAGGAAGGCCACAAATCATAATATGCAAGTAAACAGGGCAGTAAGAATTATCTGTGAGTTACTGACTTCCGTGGAATTATTTGCATTGCTGAGATTCAACGTTAGAAAGGCTTTCTTATCACTCACCTCAAGTAAGGGCCCATGTTCACCCGGTATGGCAGGATCCTTGAGAAAGCACCCTTCCTTCAGTCCATTACTTGCTTGCTTTGACAGATGCTTATCTTGAACAGCTATTGAAAAAGAAAAATGGAAATTGATTAGTTCATTTATGCCTAAGGTTGCCAACCTCCCAGTCGTGGCTGGAGATCTCCCACTGTTACAACTGATCTCCAGATAACCGAATTCAGTTTCCCTGGAGAAAGCAGCCGCTTTGGAAGGTAGACTCTATGGCGTTATACCCCACTGAAGTCCCTCCCCTCCCAAACCCTCACCTCCCCAGGCTGCACCCCAAAATCTCCAGGTATTTCCCTGCTCAGAGCTGGCAACCCTAGATCTAGGGTTGCCAGGTCTGGGTTGGAAAATACCTGGAGACTTTAGGGGTGGATCCGGGAGGGGGTGGGGTTTGGGGAGGGGAGGGGCCTCAGCATGGTACAATGCCACGGAGTCCACCCTTCAAAGCAGCCATTTTCTCACCTTTTAAAAATCTGTCAGCCAGAGGTGAACACGTGGACAAGTCTGTGAACTATTCCCTCTAGATCGTTAATATATATATATATATATATTTCATTTATGCCTAAGGTTGCCAACCTCCAAGTAGTGGCTGGAGATATATATATATATATCACAATTTAGGAGACAAAATTATTTTTATTATTTCGTACATTTTTATCCCACCTTTCCTCCAAGGATCCCATAGGTCTCATTCCACGATTCTATCCTCACAACGAGGTAGCTCAGACAGAGAGACCCACAGCAAGCTTCATGGCAGAGTGGGGATTCTGAAATCAGGTCTACCTAGTCAACACTCTAAACACTATGCTAAAGAAAACAATGGCTTGTATTCAGTGAGATCTACTAGCAAAGCGCTCTTCTGTTGCCTGCAAATAATAAGATACAAGCTGCTGAAAAGACTGAGTCCAAGTTATCTTTGAATGCTTCCATTTATCCCTTTCCAGTTCACCAAAAAGCAAAGTTTTGAATTTGCTTATCACAGGGCTATTTTTGGGCAGGAACGCACAGGAACGGAGTTCCGGCTGGCTCCTGAGTTGGCCATGCCCTGCAGGAACTCATTAGCATAATAGGTCAGACCCAACAGCAGAAACTCATTAGGATTGGCTACATGCGGGGTGTGTGGTCTAACATGCAAAGGGTTCCTGCTACAAAAAAAGCCCTGGGTTTTGACAACAAACAAGGTAAACAGAATAAGAAGCAAAAGGTGGGTGTGGCTGGATGACCACACTCCTGGTGGCATGTGGGTGTGGCCTAATATACTAATATGCTGTGCTGTCAGGGGTGTGGCCTACTATGCTAATGAGTTTCTGCTGTTGGGTGTGGCCTGTTATGCTAATGAGTTCCTGCTGGGCTTTTTCTACAAAAAAAAGCCCTGCTTATCAATATGGATCTTGTCTGCCAGTTTGTTCCTTCAGCTTCCAACATCCAGGGTTTCCTACTGACTAGAACAAGGCTCCCCAACACGGTGCCCACTGGTACTACGATTCCCACCAAGTGTTTCTAGAAAGTGGGCAGGCCAAGTGAGGCTTTTTCTTCCCAGCAGCTGGAGACCTGAACGGCTGTACAGATTTTTTTTAAAGTTGCATTGGCAGCTGCTGCCACCGCAACAAAAGGATTCTCTCCCCCCCCCATGCGGTGAAGCTGCGTGTATACAAGAAAATATTTCTAAATGATGTGTTCCTTTTTAAAGACATCCTGTTGAACAGAGTTTCTGCCTGAAACGATGAAGCGTTACTATTAGAGTTACGGATGATCTTGCTCCTTGACATTTTCTAGTTGGGTCCACCATTTTGTGGCTGTGTTGCCTCACCACTATGTGCTGGAATTCCAAAGGTGCCCACAGGCTCAAAAAGGCCAGGACCCTTGGGCTAGAATGAGGCTTTCTCTGATCCTGGTGCAAGGATCTCCAGTCTAGAAGACGGCTGGCTTTGTCACTGTGCCTAGGCTGTAGAGTTCACCTGCACTGTCAGAACCAGTTTGGTGTCGTGGTTAAGTGCGCGGACTCTAATCTGGGAGAACCGGGTTTCATTCCCCACTCCTCCACTTGCAACTGCTGGATGACCTTGGGCAAGCCATAGTTCTGCCAGAGCTGTTCTCTCAAGGGCAGTTCTGGAAAGAGCTCTCTCAGCCCCACCTACCTCACAGGGTGTCTGTTGTGGGGAGGGGAAGGGAAAGGAGTTTGTAAGATGCTCTGAGACTCTAAGTGAAGGGCAGGGTATAAATCCAATCCTCTTCTCTCTTCTTCTTGATTTGTTTGCTACAGGTAACTTAGGGGAAGAATCCGTAAAATGAGAAAAATAAATGCAGTGAATTTTATTTATTTTTTAAAGAAAATCTGTTTTTGCGTTGAATGAGAGATCCCCCGGTAGCTCTTTGGACCCAAGTCTCAGATTCTCCAGCAAACCAGCACAGCCGATGGGATCTCCATTAGCTCTTAGGTCAGCCACTGCCGCCCGGCGTACCAACTCATCTACGTGCGCATCGGAAAACTGGAGGAACCTCCCTAATTTCCTTCACCCTTGGCAACAGCAAATTGATGCCAATGGCATATGGCAACACATCAACACCCCATATTCCAAAGGTTTGCGGTGTACCAAGGGCAGCGCTGCCTAACAGGAACCAAACACCCCGGGGGAAACAACAAGAAAAGTTCTCTCCCCGCCCCTTGTGGTTTTCTCCCAGTCTCCTTTTCCTTTAAGAGGGGCTTTTAAAGCTTCTGCACTCTGAAGATCCAGAAACAGAGCCCGACCCTTTTATTGAAAGTTATCAGACTCCGCAAACTAGATTCCCGCCCCCTTTCAAGTCCTTTCTTTGCGCCGCCTTCTAAATACAGTTAAACGACTTATACGTCCATCTGAACATTATGTTTCTCATGAGGTGGCGGGGTCTTCTAGACGCATCTCCAAGCATTTAGTGGGTTGTTCTCCCCCCCCCCCTTTCCTTTCCTTTTTGTTTTTTGGACAGCCTTGCGTGATTAGAGCTTGCAGATATATCTTCCCCTGCATGTGAAAAAGTGCTGGGCGCTGTGCCACCTACTCGGCTGAAGGCTCCACCCTTTACTTCCTTCCCTCCTCCCCAGCCGAACCGTATTTTTCCCCCTGCAAATACCAAAGGGAGAACATGCCTTCTGGTCTAAAAGGAGACTGCTGACTAACCAGGGTTCCCTGTCACGCAAGGAGAACCGACTGTCAATCTTTCCATGAGCCTGACAGTGGCCTGGCTCTTGTTCGAAAACCCTTGCGTGCAAAGAGACAACCCACATTCCCCCCAATGAAATTCTGCACAACAACAGCTGTCAGATATTGATGAGGCCTGGCGAGCTCCGAGAGTTCTTCCCGAAGGTTAAGGCTTTTGTGTAACGGAGCCTAATGCCTCACGAGTGATCTTTATCTGCTCTCTGGAGTATTCTCCAGTTTCCAAACAATCGGTCTTTAAAAAACAAAACAAAACACACACAAACAAACCAAAACTTTAAATTTAATCTGTTCAGGAAAGAAAGGTAAATTGGTGAGTTTTAAAAGTTTAACCTCAGTAGCCTCCTGCTTTTATGAGAGACTAAGGGGTTTTTAAAAAACAAAACAAAACAAAACACCAAAGCAACGCATTTCGCTGCATCTACTATGATTTTCTGTGCAAGGCATTTGTAAAACATTGTGAAAACTGCAATCTGGTTTGCACAGAGATACAGGGCTGGAGTTAGGTACACGGCATAACTTGTTCTCGCTTCACTTTCACAGTGTTGATTCAGAGACACTTATTTGCTTTTTCATATATATTTTAATGGACTATTGTATGTACATTCTTGTAATCACTCTGTTAATATATGCTTGAGTCTGCTGGTCCATGACCATCAGTTTAAAAGATGCTTGTTTGTATACATACATAGAAAGCAGGGACCTTCCTCTGACTGGCCTGTCAAGGTCAGCACCGTCTACTCGGGCTGGGTCTCAGGCAGGGGTTTTCGACATCACCTACTGCCTGGTCCTTTTTGTTTGAATGAGATATCAGGGACTGAACCAGTGCCTTTCTGCACGCAAAGCAGATGCTTTACCGCTGAGCCACACACCCCATGCCTAGTACCCTTTTCCACCTAAAGAGGATTGCCTGAAGAAGCTGAGTGTGCTAATTATGATGATTGCTATCTACACACATCACCACGTTGACATTTCTGAGAGATTAAATTTGGCCAATAGAACTGGTGCACTAAACTTTTAGTTGAAGGCTAAACCAGATCTATAGATATTTCTTTGTCCTGAGCTCCCAGCGCTTTTAAAAACTCCATTCTCAGTCATGTGGGGGCATTCAGGCTGGCTCTGGATATGCCAAGGCAAGGTTTTTGGTCCTCAGCCAGGTTGCCAGCTCTGGGTTGGGGAATTCCTGGATATTTGGGGGATGGAGCCTGGGGAGGGCAGGGTTTGGGGAGGGCTCTCAGTGGGGTAAGGCCATAGCAGCCCTTTTCTCCACGGGAACTGATCTCTTCAGTCTGGAGATCAGTTGTAATCCGGGGGGGGGTCTCCAGCCACCGTCTGGAGGTTGGCAACCAGGGCTATTTTGGGGCAGGAACACACAGGAACGGAGTGCAGGCTGGCTCCCGAGTTGACCACACCCACCAGGAACTCATTAGCATAATAGGCCACACCCAACAGCAGAAACTCATTAGGATTGGCTATATTAGGGGTGTGTGGCCTAACATGCAAAGGAGTTCCTGCTATAAAAAAGCCCTGGGTTTTTTGACAACAAACAAGGTAAACAGAATAAGAAGCAAAAGGTGAGTGTGTCTGGATGACCACACTTCTGCGAACACGGGGTGTGTAGCTTAATAGGCTAATGAGCTGTGCTGTCAGGGGTGTGTCCTAATAAGCAAATGAATTTCTGCTGTTGGGTGTGGCCTATTATGCTAATGAGTTCCTGCTGGGCTTTTTCTACAAAAAGAGGCCTCTTGGCAACCTTAGCTTCCAATGTACTGACTCCACTTTACACCCATCTAGATGGCTTTTCCAGTGACTCAGCAGAATTCTGTAGTACCTCTTTGTGTCACGACTGCAAACTGAGTCTGTTGAGCACACGTTATTAAGTGTTTTGGTTCTGTTTGTTGCTGTGTAACAAAGGTAGGGCTCAATGTACATTAATTCACACCGATGAATTGCTCCTGGGAACTAACTCTGGATACTCCCCTTTGTTCTACCAAACAGGTGATCGGCGCTGCCAAAGCTGAGAATGCCGACCATCTGTCAGACAGATGCACATGCACAGCACACAAAGACACACAGGGAGTAAGGGAGGCTGCTTGAATCGATGCCCTTTTTTAAAAAAAAACGCAACAAAGTTAAATGCTCTAATTTTTCCAAAGAAAGCAAAAATACGGCAAAATAGAGACATTTCATTCCGAGTAAGCCTTTACCAGTCCGTATAGATATGCCTGCCTCTTAAGGCAGCAGAGGGTAAACAGATGTGAGGAATGGCACGTTTTAGAGCAACTGCTGAAGAATGATGGGAAGTTAAGAAGGCATTCTAGGCCGATGACCCGTCTGTTCCTCAAAAACTTTCCATTCATGAGTGACCCAAAAGGAGAAGGTTGAGTCAACGGCAATGACATTTTCTCTTAGTGGGCCAGAAAGCACTGAAGCGGCGGCTCATTTGCGCATTGCTGGTCTACCATGCATCAGATCTCTGTTCCCCAGATCAAAAGATCACTTTCATAACCACTTCTCTGCGGTCTTCACCAAGCCTGCTTCAGTCACGCAATCCCTGGCCTGTTGCAACAGTACGGGCTCAGAAAGGCTCTTAAAGGAACAGGCTCCTTCCACATTCTTCTGCTTTCACACAGAATGTAAAGATGATAAATTCAATAATAAGGGAACACTGAACATTGGTGTTAAATGTTAATGCTGCTAACATTTGGTCTGAATCCTCGACGGAAGGGGAACACTGGAGGTTTGACAAGTATTAACACGAGAGAGAGAGAAAAACGTTTTAAACCGAGTAGGCGTCTTCTTAGAGAAACAGGGTCCCAAACCTTTTAAAATATTTATTCTGAGCTATTTATTCTAACTGTATTTAATTTCAACACGCGAATAAAATATGCATTTCTGTAAATCATTACACTTTAAATCATTACACTTTAAACCCAGGAAAACACTGAATTGAGCATTACTTAAACAACAGTCTGCACAGCCTTCAAACTGAGGAGCGCTGACATTCTGCCTGATGGGACAACTATAAAATTGTACACAAACTGACGAATTCTAGATTAAATCTGACATCACCGGCAAAAGCATGAGTTAAAGAAATAGTGGTAATAGTACTTGTGTACAACTATAAAATTGTACACAAACTGACGAATTCTAGATTAAATCTGACATCACCGGCAAAAGCATGAGTTAAAGAAATAGTGGTAATAGTACTTGTGTACAACTATAAAATTGTACACAAACTGACGAATTCTAGATTAAATCTGACATCACCGGCAAAAGCATGAGTTAAAGAAATAGTGGTAATAGTACTTGTGTACAACTATAAAATTGTACACAAACTGACGAATTCTAGATTAAATCTGACA